AACGAAGGGAAATGGCGAAGGCTCTAATTAAATACAATTCCTACTTTATACATCGTAGGAATACATTTATTATTTAATTATGTTTAATTTTATTTTAATTACATATTTAATGTAATTATGTCAAAAAAGCATACAGTCAATGGGATACCAACATGCGAATAGCATTAATAATAATATCATTACGTCTATTTTGAAACTCCAAATATGTTTGATGTTTTAGGAACCAGAGGAGATTATCGATAGTTCACCCAAAGGAAGTGAAAAATTGATTAAATGTGAGAATAATGTATGCCCTTTTAAAAATAACTAGCTGACGACTATAAAATAATAATATTTTATATAAAAGGAAAAAATAGGTTTGCAATTATTACTTCATAAGTATTTTCTAAACGTCATACCGATATTAACAATCGAGAACCAAAATAAATGAACATAAGCGAAAATTTAGCTCCATCCACAAGCTCAAATTGCGCTTGAAATAATTTACGTATACATATGTGGGAACAAAAATTTGTTAAAGCTCAGAAGCTTTCGAGAAAACGTCTACTGAAAATCAAATCTCTAGCAAAGATCGTGTAGGCTTAAAAAGAAAAACTTAACCTTAAATGGAGGAGATTCTAAACAACGAAAATTTAGGAAACGAAAAAATACTTATTTTGGACGCAGTAACATCATCATAACTTACGTTTATTTTCTAAGAACATATAATATAGTAAGTATAATGAAATATATACGCGTGAATGCTATAATTCAAATGCCTTATAAATTTCGTTTGAATTCTTTTAATTTGTTGTTTATGCGTAACATATTAGGGAGAACAAATACTAGTAGCGTAATAAACATTTTTGATGCAGTTTATGTCCGAAAAAGGTTTGCAAGTACGTAGACCAAACCTTTGACTTTTTAAGCTTTATTTACTATTGTATTTATAAGTTTTGTCACAGCCAGCTTCTTGTCAAGGGTACCAATTAGTATTTTATTTATTTGTTTCATCTTTTTTACACACCTTATAATGAGGGATATAAAATTCCGAGTTATTGTCTTATGGCATTCTCTACCAGTTAACCCTGGACGATTTGAGAAACTGTGGCAGGTATAAAGGTTTTACTAAATTAAATGGGTAATATAGATATAAGATACAATAAACAATTAAAAAGTTATTTTAATATTTCATTTACAAAGAAAATAAATTGGTTTTATTTTCTTTGTAAATGGCAAATAAATATTTTGTTTGAATTTATTATTATTTATTATAATTTATTTTAACTTTATAGCAAAATTTAAAGCGATCTGAATTACAAAATTCACCCAAATTAAAACAAAATTTGGAAAAATTGATTCTAAATCAAATGTTTTTAAGTTCCATTGCTGAACACTTCATCCGTAGCAGGTCTTCCTTTAGTTGGTAACCTAAATTAATATTTATTTAAAACGTTAAGCAATTTAATTAAAATGCTGAATTTCATTGGACCATAGATAAAATGAGTATATCGATAAGGCTGTTCTTTTCTATAGCTACCACATCACTAGAATTGTCTATGGTATATAAAAAAGCTAAAAAAACATCTACGACCTTGTAAAGGGGAAATGGTGACATTCATATTTTCACTTTTTTATCCTGTAGGAAATATATCCATAAAGAGTTCAGTCAGATGAGGTTTTGTTCTGTTTTTGAGATTCTCTCTATGCTACTAATTATTCTGAGAGTGGCACCGTCTTTTGACTTCATCTGGTCACTCTAAGTTGTTTTCGATGTGGTATTTTATGTACGTCTCTCCGACTAGTATAAAGTTATCTGCAGTTATCTATGTTGTATGTCATAAACTGACTGCAGTACCTAAAAAGCACTGACCTATATATATACAAGTACGCTGGACTGGCTATACACCCTGACATGATGAGGAAATTTGATTTGCGCCATTTTGGTGCTGACAGCAGAAGTGCACGTCCACGGAACTAATAATAGGGATAAGACAGTGTGGCAAAATATATCGATAAAAATTCTATACCCTACCTATCTATGGATAGATGGACTCTACCCGTAACGTCCATTCTATATATGCATCACATTAATATAATGTCATTATCATTCATCATCATTAAAGCCCTTCACAAGTGCACTGCTGAACATAGGTCTCCCCCAAGGAATGCCACAAAGCACGATCCTGAGGCTGCCACTCGAGAACCTTTTTTTCCCATCGGTTGTCGGTTCTTCGAGCTATAAGGCCGGTCAATTGCCACTTCAGCTTACTAATCCGTTGGGCGATGTCAGTCACTCTGGTTCTACTGCCAATATCCTCATTCCTAAGTTTATCCTCCTAAGCTTTCCAGCTTCGGCAGTGCCACGTATTCTAAGGGGCTTGACATATCGCAATCCATGGGTTCTTGACCGAATACTTAATTGCCTTTATCGGTGGATGTTACTCAAGTGGAAGCCGCCAAAAATCGTGAATGTAAACGATGGCCAGAATTTGTAAATAATAAATAAACTAAAGTAGGACCACTACAAAGTTAAAGGACAAATTAAATCTAGAGACTCGAGAGAGAATTAGATCTCTAAACTTATGCTTATTAAAATTGACAGGGCCACGGAAACGCTTTCATGCACATCCGCGGTCCCTCCGGTACCAGTCGCCAAATGGCAGCCCCACCTTAGTTGCTGACTTCTCCCCCCCCCGTTTTTCTACTCAGATAAGGCGCACCAGAAACACAAGGCACACTGCCCTTCACGGCCTCTGACTCCACCTGTACTACGGACTCCCCGAGCCCAATATGTGAAAAGAGCCAGGAAAAAACGATCACTTGGAAGCATCAAGTGGTGCAGCCTCACCAAAGTTGTAAAGGATAGTCGAGTGGCATCGCATCGCCAATCGCTATACCAACACTATTCTTCCCTGACGACTCCAACTCGACTACAGCGGTACAGGGAGAGAAATCTTCTCTAGTCGCAGCCCACTATACACACAACACACATTCAACGTGGCTCGACATCATCAGTCGACCATTCGACACTTGGCTATGGCCCTTGAGTTGTGGGAAAATGAGGAAAGAAGAAATAAAAAAAAACATTCGAAATAATAATCTAATACTTTTATACTTACTGGTACTGGTACTACCAGAAAATATTGTCGAAGCACTGCATTTTTTCAAAGTGGTGCAGTTCTCATGTCTAATAAAACAGTCGTCTGTGAAATGTTTAGAACAAATATGATCATTTTGTTTCGGACGCCAATTCACAATATTTATGCTTTTAAGCCATAATTTTAGGCTGGGTTCAGTTGGAAAACTGTTAATTAATAAACATGTGATAATCATCTGTTGTTGGCGACTTTGTTTGTTAACAGATATGGGTAGGAAAGAACATCGATAAGTCTTATAGACAAGGAACTCGAAAACCCTATTGAATTTAATTGTTTATCAAAACTCAGTAATATACAGCCAAACATGTTGGTATATATGATATTAAGACTAGAAACAAAATTTAAGTATTTATATTATCAAATAGTTTAAATTTGTTTAATTGTGTGTAGTGTAGTGGTATAACATTTCACAAATTCACTTACTTGTGAAATGTTATACCACTTCCCTTTGCGGTACGAGTTTTACAGACTACGCACACTCTCATTATTATAAAAAAATCTTATAATGTAACTAATATTATACACAATCAACCAATATAAAATACTTTCGTTTTTTCGTTTAAAAATTCAAAATACAATTTTTTTTAAATTAGACAATTTAAATAAGACAGCAGACTTTGGCATATTAAGTAAATTTTAGTTTCCAAGACGATCGTAAGGGGTGCTTCAAATTGGCACGGACATTTTGTATGGTATAGCCAGTCCAGCGTACTTGTATATATAGAGGTCAGTGCTCAAAAGATACAAAAATGAAAAAAAATAAAAAATATGATAAAGAATGTTTGTTGTAAGGGGTGCTGTGATCCCAAATGAAAAGTATTCATTAACAAACATAAAATTCCAGGATTCTTCCTAAGTTTGATATTAATAATATTATTTTTGTCATATCGTCTGTATCGATGTTATTATCCGAGAAGGAGGAGGAGTAATGAACATAATAGCTCTTTTATTATTTAATAATAAATATTGACATGAAATAAGATAACACATAACGCATAACATAATCCAATGAGATACAGTTTTTTATTCAATGGTATTTAATTGTAATGCGGCAGTAATGTGGCTGTCATTGTAATTAATCTTATAACAAAACAAGAATAAAGTTAACTAGGACACTACTAAAAGCAATTTTATTACGTGGCCTGTAATTAATTTGATCCATAGCAATAAAACTCCTTATTTTCAATACAACATTAACTGTCAACCCTAATGTTCCCACAAATTTTTATTTTGTGTCATTACGAATTACACTATTATATCTCTTACATATTTTTATTATATAGATTTTAGTTAAATTTAAATACAATTATTATGGAATATTAGAACTTAAAAATGTTACAATATTACACAGTTAATAGTTCTAAAATTCTGATTTCATTGACATCAAACAATACTCTAATAAAACATGTGAGCTCAAAATGTAATCAATATTTGGTAAACAAATGTAGACGCTACCCACGTTTTAACAATCGTATTTATAAAATGTAACTGGATTCATCACTGTATATCACACTTTGACTAACATCATCTTAAATCTTCTTTCAGATTATTTTTGAAATAAGCATCTTTGGCAACTTGGTACAATATGTGACTGCTCTTCTCACTAGTTTTGCGCACCATACTGGACAAACTGCTGTTGGGATCTGAGAGCAGTTTGTAGGGGTGGTCATATTCCGCGATAACACCACCACTCATTACGAGTCACACGATCAGAGTCCATAACAGTGTTCAAACGATGTGCTATCGTCAGAACAGTGCACGATGCAAATTGACGTCGTAATGTTTGTTGAATGAAATTATCCGCCCTGAAAAGAAAACAGAACATGAACACGAAATATTGTAGAAAAATTCCAAAGCTGTTCACAATACATACTGTGGGTCAACATTTGCTGTAGCCTCATCCATTATTAATATTTTATTGGACCGAAGCACAGCGCGCGCTAAGCACATGAGCTGTCTTTGATCAACAGAAAAGTTGGAGCCACCTTCAGTCACCTTGAAGTCTAAAGAGGGAACAGCCGCTTTCATGCCTACCTATAAATAAATTGATAAAAATATAGTTTTTACGTTTATCTGCGTATTTTTAACTTTTTAAATACCCGACGTTTCGAACACTTTACAGCATTCATGGTCACGGGCGGGACTGAGATGTTCAACGTCCATATGTCATAGTTAACCGCGGTTACCATAGATTAAAATTTAACTTTTGTTCCGATCTATGCAGTATGAACTTATGGTATCTTGCAGTCTTGCAGTTGTATGCTTGGGTTGGGATTTAATTTTATTTATTATAGGATCCCAAGCAGATGGTAGCACCCAGCCATCTTCTCTATTGAAATTAGGATGTTTTTTGATTTCAATAGCCTCGCGAATCATCCTTGGAAGGAATCGGTGTTCTTTAGCAAGGATTTGCGGTCTATCAAATCTGATGTAGTGACGGGGGCGATCCTGTACGTGTTTACAGACTGCAGACTTCCCGGAGCGTCGATTCTTCACATCAGCTATATGTTCTTTAACACGGGTTTTTATTGATCTTTTAGTTTGTCCTATGTAGGAGAGAGTGTTGCTGATATTGAGTTATAGTAAGAAATATTAAGAGATTTTGAGAGTTGTTGATAGTTATTCACTCTCATAGGGAGATCCCTCTTCAATGATTTTCTAGGTGCGCAATGAGTTTTGTAGGATCTGCTGTGCCTACCTTAACCAGGAGCTACGCTCTAAAACAATAATAAGGTTGACCATGTGATACAGTATGCTTATATGATTATTATAAGTGACACGAGAAGCTCTTTTATAACTTGTTTTGCTATATTTTGATGAATTTGTAAAAAAACTAATTTATTATCTGTAATTATTCACTTCTGGCAACTTGCTGTTTGTAAATACGTAAGTTCTGAGTATAGATAGACACAGCGCTTGCATGGCTAAATGCGCGCGAAACTTACAAGATTCTGGCACTAGAGATGCTTGCGCATTCCTATTGGGCACGCCTAGTTTTGCAGCCGAACCAAGACCATTTTACATTGGTACTGTTTTATTCTTAAGTGTCGTTACAAACAATTAATTACACTAAACTTCGTCTACTTATTAGCTTTGTAGTCTGTGCGAATAGGGATACGATGGCGATATGGATGATTCTTAATCGAGTATAGATGAAAATGTCTATGAGCCATGCCATCCATTTATCATCAGGTGGACTATGTACTCGTTTGTCACTCATATCCTTAAAAAACTCCATTTTAAAATAGGGACTCCTCATAATTACCTGCTTAGCGACCATAGCAGTATCAATTCCGTCGATCGTTATCTTTCCGTCGATGTCCGCAAATCTGAAAAACGCAGATATCAAGGATGACTTGCCGGCGCCGGTTCCACCCACGATTCCCCCTATAATGACAAAAAGGTGTTAATATTTCACTTCTTGCCTATGTATTGACACGAAAAAGGAATGAAATAGAACAATCTTATGGATTTTTTTAATCAACACCTTTTGGGCACTTTACAGCACCCACGGTCACGGAGGGAAACGTTAAAATTAAAATTAAAAAGTTCAAAAATTAAATTAAAAAAAATTAAAATTAAACGCGATAAAATCCGTAAAGTTAGTTTTATTTCACGTGTAGTATTCACGTAAATATAAGAAATGATTATGAAGAAGGAATTGTAAATAATAGCACGTCAACACGTTCTCAAGTAGCCAACTGCAGCGAAATGTCAAAGGGAGGACAAAATCATCGCGGAATTTTGAACGAGTTTGTACTGTATTCTTCTTTATCAACATCCTATTAAAATCCACGGCTAGACATCATCGTAAAATTTTATATCTTACGTAAAATACCGATACCCGCGACGGACAGCAGTGTGAAAGGTGTACGGGTAAATTCCAAATGTAGAATTTTATGAGCCAATTAAGAAAGAAAGAAAATACATAAATAGAATACTAACACTTATGACAGAATATTGCTTTTCTTTTTGACCGACTTCAAAAAAAGGAGTAGGTACTCAATTCGACTGTACGTATTTTTTAGGTGGGCTACCTCAGAACTTTTTTTAAGCGAACCGATTTTGATGACTCTTTTTTATTTTTGAAAGCTGCTGCTTCTCATATGGTCCTTTATAAATTTGATCAAGATCTGACTAGTAGTTATTTAAGTTATCCTTAATAATGCTTATTTAATTGACTTTTTTATTTTATTTATATCGAAGTCGGTCGTGAAAATTTTAATTTTTACCATTTGTGTGAGTAATTAAGAAAGGGTATGAATATTTTGAATTAATCATTTTAGTATTTATCTGACTATCTCAGGATGTAGACATTTCTGAATTGCTAAATCTCGTATACATTTTTGACATTTATGATATATTTCGGTACATAATTAAACGTGGTAAGTTTCAGATCCGCAAATTATGAACATTGTTAACTTGATTGTAAAAGATTATTATTTCCTTGACATTGAAATCGTAAGTAATGAAATTGTAAATATTATGATACTGAATTATGAGTTATTATTTAAACTTCTTTGAGTATTTTTTTTCATACAAAATGTTATCATTATTACCTTCAAACCACTTTCAACTACAAGATTTAAATTCTTCAATACTGGATCTTCATCAGGTCCGTACCGCAAGTTTACGTTTTGAAATATAAATCTTCCTTCTGAAGGCCACGTCGGTGGAATAAGTATCGCTGTAACAGAAACAATCATTCGTAAATATTATTTCGTCATGTTGTAATTCTTTAAATCATAAATGCGGTAGGTGATGGCTTAAGAGAATCCATCAAATCCATTTCGTGGTTGTCTCAGGAGGCCCTAAAGCTCAAACATCTCCATGGTCATGGCTCCGACAGATGACAATATATGCATCCTGTTTACGTCCAATGAAAATACTCATTAACAGTGATAGAGAGATATAGTATACATAGTATACTAGTATAGATCATTAACAGGGGTAGAGAAATACTTTTTAACAGTGGTAGAGCCACGCGGCAGCTTTTGCTTTTGCACGTATGGGCCGGCTCGAGACGACACGACCTCATAGAATACCGGCTTGAAGTGTAAGCTCAGCTTCCACGTTTCGTCTGGTGAGTGCAGGTGGCAGGAGGCCCAACTTTCCTCCCCCCCCCCATCAACACGGTAGCGGAAATAAATTTTAGACTACCCCAGGAGTGTAACAGTACCATTAGAGAATCCCTCGCTGAGCATCCACGACCAAGATACTCCACTCCTGAGCGTAGGTGCTCAGGCTGCCCCACATTTTGCCTCAGGCAAAATTCCGCTCAAAACAATAACTGCTTGGGGCAAGCCGAGCAACAATACCAAGGCGACCCCTGCCACGCCATCCGTGAATTTCTGCAATATCAGGGGACTTCACTCTAACCTAAACGCCGTCCACTACTATCTAGAGACGGCGACGCCGGCTCTGCTCTTTCTGACCGAGACACAGGTGCCCTTTCCGGCTGATGCTTCGAAAATTGATACGTGGTAGAGCCATGCAGCAGTTATATTAATAGTACAGTTGCAGCACGAATGGGTCGGCTCGAGAGGGGAAGGACCACGCTCTCACAGAATACCACCGTAAAATAGCAGCTTAATGCTGCTGTATTTCGTATGGTGAGTGTAGAGAACCGGAGACCCCGGAAACGAAGCATTAATTTAGCCAATAAAGTGATTCTGTCAATGGTTTTGAGTGATGATTGTGAGTGAGTCTCAGCCGCTTTTGCGTCCATGCCTGTCTCGCTCGCACTTGATAAGGTGACTCTATCCGTCTCAGTCACTTTAGCGTAAATACCTGTCTTGCTTACACTTCTTTAGAATGACGCCTTCACTTCAAGCTACAATTTATGATCCTTTGGAAAATCTTGGGTGCATTAGATAAATTTTTAACCAAGTAAGAAAAACTTGTTAAAACTGGGTTTTTTTACGAGAAAAAAAAAACAATGGCCACTACCGCAGCTACAATTTACCAAGTATTAGAGCATTTTGGAATTCTTACTAAATGTACCAACTTTTGACGCTATTTGCCAAACTCGAGTAGTACATTTTTTTTTCAATATAGTCAGTTAAATCTAGGCAATTTTTAATTTTAAGTTTTTTTTTAGAAAAATTTTTTAGAAATTTCGAAACCAGTTTTGAGAAGAATTATTTAGGGTTTCATATTGAAAAGAAAGTTGGAAAAAGTAAAGGTTTGTTGCAATAGTAGTGAAAAGACTATCATGTGATGTGAAATTTTTCCGTTTTCTTTAAATGCCTATAATTTTGAAAACATGCAACTTAATTTTTTTGACAACCAATATGACTTGCCTTTTCACCCGGTTCCGGTTTGACGTCGAGTTTTGGGACAACCTGTATATAAATTGAACGTTTCTTTGTTTGCTCTTAAATCCGTCGTCGGTAGATTTATATGATTCGTCACGATAGAAAGGAAGCAATGCCGAAGGAACGTTTGTATAACATTATTATACAAATAGTATATAGTGAAAGGGGGGAAATCTCGTGTTTTTGACTAAGTTAATAGAAGTCATAGTTTATAAAATAATGGCCAAATTCTACCACCTGTCGAAAGTAAATTGAAAACGGCGTAATTGTAAGAATCGTAAGGTATTGGCGCAAAGAGTATAGAATAACAACATTTTAATTTGCATGTCCCATAAAGCAATACGGGCCGCTGACACTCTTGTGTTGCTGTATGGTGTTGCCATTTCATTTTTTTTTTAAATTTGCTTTTGGCATTTCACGAAGCAGCCATTGTCTGCAAACAGACTAAGCCATTTGTATAATGTGAAAGAACTATTTGCTGACGACATAATATATTAGATAATTAATATACTACAACATAATATATTTTTATCGTTTATCAAACTAGAAACGTCTGCAACTATGTTCATAAACGTATACGACTGATTACTGAATACTAACCCATACTTGCATTGCCTATTTCTTCTTGATACTTTGCCATTTGGTTGGACCTAAAACAAAAATTTAAAAATGGCAACATTACAATTACTTATAAAGTAAATTGCAATATTCCTATTTTAAGCAGTCTACCCATGGTGCACCTGTATTATGGATACTGCACGAATAGGTCAACTCGAATGGACACTACGCTTTTATTGAATACCAGTTTTAAATAACAGAATAATTTATTAACTTATGTGGCTTTAAGAATATTCCCGAACCTAAACACTTACAGGATCTTTTACTAGATGATTTTCTGATATACTTAGGCAAGTAGTTTCAGAGCATTGAAGCCTGGAAAATCAAAGAGTTGTTAAGAGATTTTGTGAAATGCGTTGCCTACATTTTATCCATGAGATAGCTTAGGACCATGCTTTGCGGAATTCTTTGCGAATTGTTGCTGAAGGAAATTCTTATGAAGGGCTGTTATGATGATAATGATGATGATCCTTAAGATATGAAAGTAAAGACAAAAATCATTACTTCGATAAATTTTGAGAAAATAACAAAGAGAATTCTGTATTAACCACCTTTGAAAATAGTATATCTTCTGTGAACCATTTAGCTTTAAATTATATTGAAAAATATGGTCATATATTTGTAAATTAAAAATGAATGTCATACAAACGTTAGAAAGCGTTGCAGTTTGTTAGTTATTGGGGTAACTCTGGACAGCACGCATCTGCATATAGCATTTACGTGGATTTTAAAACATACAACATTAGACCACATTATCTATATATCATCAGGTGGAATATGTAATAGTTTTAATTCTAGAAAAAAAATTTAATCCATCTTCTACAGTTCTTCTACGTTAACAATTGCCGATGAAAATGAAAAGATAACACAAAGAGTATTAATAATACATTATTAACTCACCAGAAACTGACCCAATAATCTACAGCAGCTGCTGATGTAGAGGTCATAGCGAGTATTAAGAAAGTGAACGATACTAAAAAGAAGCTGCCTCCGGACTTAAAGTATGTAGAAATAACTTCCCACCGAAGATTTCCCGATTGTCTTTCTTCAGCAGCCATCTTTTGCTCCTCAAATTGTTCTAGCTCTTCGGGTTCACTGATAGACACAGACTTTTTTAAACTTGCTTTCTCTTTTTCTTCAACTTTCTGAAATATAGAAAATTATATTAATTAATTAAATTAACAAATGAAACAAAACTCATCTTAAAAAAATATTCCTTAAGTATCTAAATTTAAATATTTAAATATTGAACTCCAAAAATTTCATACGGCTACTCATTAGATAATAGTCAACTAATGTATGAATATCTTTTTTGTAATAAGAATTTTTAACATTAACTTTAAGCAGAGTACCTTAAATTTGTGCAGAAGTAAATTACATAATTAATGTAACAAAGAATCTGGATTTAAGAAGTTTATGTTTTTGGTACAGCAAATTCAGATTAAAGTTAATTAATAATTAAACTAAATTATGAAGTTAAATATTTTGAATAACCTACATGTGTCATAAATTAAAAAAATATCACAGACAACATCTGAAATATATAGACGTATTAGAGGAGTGCGATGCTCTGATCTAAAACCCTATCATAGTGCGCAGTGATATACGGCATTTACTTTATTCTATTTTTAAAAATTTTAAAAACAAGGAACTGATAACTAAAATTCGAGAGACAATATCGAAAACATGTTTTCAAACACTTATCGAGGAAATGTTGACTAATCCAAGAATATATTGATATATTCTCTCAGCAATCTAATTTTAATATAATATGTATTACTTGTGAGATACATTGTGTTTTCATGCGATGGCCAAAGTCAATCTATTTATTTTAAAACATAAAAGATTTGGTCACTATAAGATGTTATTAGGTTAGCTAATTACGTAATAACTTAAAACAGAAGGAACCATAAGTAAGGACTGAATAAATTAACCGACTTGGTATTGAATGAATCTCACAACTTTCTACGGTAGAAGAAATGAGTTGCGAGACTTATTTTTTTTACAACTTATGTTGATGGCATCTAATTTATTTTCGTAGATAGTCCTACTTTTTTCTACCGGTACCTTCTACTTCTAGAATACCAACAACGTACCTATCTACACCTGTTACTCCATTATATGTATTATACATAATATATACAGGTACACTGATTCATTCACTGAAAATGTAACTTTGTAATCCTGTATGTTTATATAGGATTACAAAATTATTTATGCGGTTGATTTATTTAGGAGTTGGACCGAAATTGCAAAATATTTTACTTTTTCCTTGATTTATACACTAAACACTTATTGTATTCTGAATTTGAAGCTTCTATGTCTGCTAGAAGTGCATTAGAGTTTTGATGATCGGTCAGTCAGTCAATGAGTGACAAAATTAAGAAACTTTGAGTAGTTATAATTCTTAAACTACTGGTTCAAATTGAATGAAATTTTAAATATATCGTGTTTATACAGGCTGTTACAAAACTACCCGTAAAGCCGAAAGGAGGTTATAAATGTGACCTTATAACGAGTCCATTCACAATATTTAAGAACCGCGTTACTGTATAACATACCCCAAAAAATAAAAAATTATTATTATTTTCACTGATGTGCAAACCCTATTTCAGTAAAATTAAAGTGTAAACTACGCAGAATGTACCTACATTTCTACCTAATACGCGGAACGACAAAAAATTTAAAAGACCTAACATAACTAAATTACCTAAATGAACACTTACTTTTTCATAATAAACGTCAAATTTACAGAAACAGTTCAAAGTGAAAATGGAGCTCAATACACAACCTTGCTCGTCGGGATATAGCTTGTGTGGCATTTCGCACCATCGTCAGTTTTATTGATGCGAAAACCGATCTAACACGCTGTTCTATCTCGGCAAACGTTGGACAATCGGAGAAATACACTCTGTTCTTCACATTACCCCACAAAATGAAGTCCAAGGGTGTGCGGTCCGTAGAACGAGCAGGCCATATCACCGGTCCTCCGCGGCCAAACCAACCTCGCGAAAAACGAACGTTAAGATGTTCTCGTACGTTGCGAGCAAAATGTGCCGGAGCTCCATCATGCTGAAATACCATATTTCTTTGGTTGATAATTAATTATATTATTTATAATGCCTGCTTGATTACTGTAAATTCAGGCTTTTAGTTTTATCCACAACGAAGTTATAGAATAGGTGTCAAAAATAGTCTGAACTGCTTCAAGAAAAGAATGTTACGATTGGCGGGGGCACTGCCATTTCCACAGATAACACATAACCGTATTCTACAGACTGTAAGTTACTCATAAAACTGACAGAGATAATCTGCGATGCCGATAGGTAACCGGTGCAGCATCATTTAATTTTATTAGCATTTCAACAATAGAAGTCTTTCTTAATTCACGATTAAGACACAGGTCTACGAGATTTGACTTAGCTATAGGTTCAAGATTTGGATCTATATTTAAATCATCGATGGTAATTGAAGATACATCGTTAGTTATACGCCTCATATTTACCAAGTAACTGTTTTCATCGTTGGTGGCGAATATTTCTTTCGGTATTCCTACGCCTCTTGCTATGATTTTTCATATACACTTATGAAAACCAAACGGGCGATACCATTAGAAATAGCATAAATTCCGGGTAAGATTAAATATTTCGAATCATGAAATCACTGTATATCTAATGCTGTGCTCACGAATCCTGTAAACGGGGACGCGCTAACAGCCTCTATTATGTATCATTTGTAATCGTGTATTCGTATACAGTCGATAATGCTAACGAGTTTGATTTGTTGGCAATAATCTGGTATAACGTCAATTCTTTATCAGTTTTAAACACTCTTACAGTAGGATATTCTGTGAGAGATTGACCTATGAGTACCTTAGCTGGAAACAAAGAACAGGAAACAATATATGCTATTAATTCTATATCCACTTTATGTATCTCTTTTACTTGTGCTTTACCAATTGGAGATATGGCACTTTTACCATATCCCCTAAGATAGGCAACTCGTCTGAAGGTTTTAAAGTTTTTAGTCTTCACACACTTTATCACTCAAGAGAGTGCATTCACTCCCAAATTCAATATCGTATCGTTTTATTATTATATCGTTAATTTTAACCCCTTTAAAATATTTTTGATTACTCTCCTTCACTGTTCCATCTATATTTAATACCTTCTTAGATATTTTGTTGGTTTCTTTACTGTTTGTGTTGTTTGGTTTACCATAAATTGGTGATTTGCAATTAATATCTTTATGGCCATGGCATCTGCATTTATTGCACCTGAGTATTTCTTTCCTACACTTCAGAACTGTATGACATGAATGTAATGAATGTTTCAACTAGTTCACCACAGTTGAAACATTTTACGTGGTTCATGGTTCGTTTGTTATTAAAATGGTCGTGATTATTTATACTCTTTACCCATTGCATTGACTGGTTTGGATATTTGCTTAAGCTATCGTTATTTCTTTTCTCACGCATATCAGTGTCAAATCGTTTAAGAAACTATGGTGGTTCAGTTTTGTTACCAGTAATGTAGCGAAAGTACTTTAAGACCTGTTCCGGGTTATCACAATATGCACCTTGCACATTCATTCTTACGTTATAACCATATATCCCGTGAGTTAAGCAATCCACTGCCTGTCACAGTTATTAATGTGACATCATTAATGTGAGACATCTGTTAACGTTTAATAAAGTGATAGGTAATCTCTCCGTTTTTTATTTATTTCACTCACTGGCTACGAAGTTTTACTTTGACGGACTGTGCTGACAACTGTTAAAATTTTATTGCACCATGGCGCACTTTTTAGGGGTGCAATGAGAAGACGCAGTAAAATGCGCCTGAGTTACAGAGTTAACGCAATTTCGTTGAGTTACCTTACAAATGTCTAAATGTTTATTACACGAAATCAAAAAAAAAAAAAACAACAACAGCTACTTTTTTTACTTATGTGACTTATAAAACAGTTCCGTTATCTTATTTCCAGACATATTAAGATTATTGTAACAGACCTGGTTTAATAGGTCTCGTAAACATTGTATGAACATGAACAAGCTCTTGTGAAAAAGTATTATACTCGTATTTATTTCAGAAAGTAAATTGCACTCAAAAACATAGTTTATTTTAATTTTGACTATGAGTAGAACTACACTGATAGAGTTTTGAAAGTCACTTGTTAAAGCCGGTACCCAAATCGATTCAAAAGTAAATATCATAGTACGTAATAAGCAACCAAACTTTTATCCACGGTGACATCACTCAAATTTTAATTAAAATTTGAAGTTAGAAATAGTTTTTTTAAGTGAAGGCGGGCATAGCGCAGTGAACTCTTATTCTGACCCAAAACCAAGTTATACATAAGTTGCATACATTTTTTACATTTAATGGGCTATTATGTAGTTTTTATGTAATTCATATTTTGCTTAAACCTACTTCCCAAGCGTGGCAACTATGGCAAATATCCCCTCTATGCGGTAATCTATGGGGGAGTATGCACCTAATGTACCTACAGATATGTACAAATATTAACATGTTATGTGGTTTAAGAACTTTATTCTCATTAAGAATACAAAAATTCACTTATCATGAGAACATAAAAATTTATAAGTTATAACAATATCTGGAGAAACACAGAAGTTGGGGGTACATTACAAATACAGTTAAAGACAGTCACAGCGTCAGGGAGAGATACAATCACAGATATATAGTTGAACTACGCTCAACAATTTACAAGAAGCGGCTTGAGGTACATATTTCGTAATATTTTATTCTAATTCGAATTAGTAATCAACAATAAAAAAACTTTATACCTTATTTGTATCTTTTTAAATATATTTAAAATACTTATTGGTTATTATTAATATTTTTAACTTAATAGTAAGACCGTAATTTTATAGATTTTATAATATAATATTTTAGTAATTTTTGAAGCTTACATTTGACTGTGATTCCTTAATGTCTTTAGGCAGTTTATTATATAATTGTGCTCCTTCAAACGCTTATAACTCAAGTATTGTCATTGACCGAAACTTTAAGGAGACTATACTACAAAGGGTTAATTAAAATATAAATTTTTATCATCAAATAAACAATGCTAGCCAAATAACAAAGTTTCACAGAAAACTGGCGTAAAATAGCAGCTATACGCTGCTGTGTTTCGTATGGTGAGTGCAGAGAACTGGAGACCCTTTTTACTGTAAAGGAGGAATTCCATCTTATTCCTCACGAGTGATAACCCATTTGCATTTTGATTAGTAATCGAGGATAGATGTAGAAGTCTATGTGCCACAGCAACGACTTACCATCAGGTGGACTGTGTGCTCGTTTATCACCCTTCTTCTATAAAAAAGTTTGTCTTTACAACATATTGTGTACGAGTCCTTCCCTTGCCTTTTGAAGATTGGAGAAAAAATTGCAACGGATCGTCATTTGGTTGTGAGTTGTAACATTTTTTTGCATGATACAGAGCTTGCATAATATGGAAATGAAATTATGACTATTAAGAACTGACAATGGGCATAGATGGATACCTATTCCTTTTTGGAATATCAGAACAACTGGCAGACCTGACCATAAAGAAAATCTTGTAGATATAGCTGCTTACGACATGTTTGAAATAGAACTTAATTCACAAACGATTGAAAAATCGACCCTTTGCGAATTTATCAAACAAAAAGAAAATATTAAACTTTATACACAATTATGAATTTCTGACTGATCAGAAGACCAAAAAGGTTAGAAGATAGAAACACGATAGTGTTGCTAGGTGTTTGGTATTACTTCAATTTGCAAAAACTCACTCATCTATTCCTGTAGCATATTAGGTCTATGCCAAATTTCAATCACTCACGTTCTACAATCTTTTTTTAGGATAGGGTGACAAACGAGCACACAGTCTACCTGGTGGTAAGTGGTTGCTGTCGCCCACAAACTTCTACATCTATCCTCGATTACTAATCAAAAGTCAGACTGAGATATAATGCATCGTTTCCAGTAAAAGTGGTCTCCGGTTCTCTACACTCACTAACACAGCAGCTTTAAGCTACTATTTTTCACTGGTATTCTGAGAAAGCGCGGTCCTTCCCCGGTCGAGCCGACCCATTCGTGCTACAACTATATTACTAATAATTGCAGCATGGCTACACCACGTATAATCTTTATATGTGGTAGAGCCACGCTATCACGTTAAGTCTTAAATAATTCGTTAAAAAAATTCTGTGAGAAACAGACATAGAGATACAGACGCCGGGGTAACAGACAAATAGGTAAATTGAAGCCCTCGGGAGCGAGGCTGCGAGTCTATACTAGTATACGAATAAATTATTGACAGTATAAAATGAAACAAGTGAAAAAGATAAATTTTTGGCTAGTATTAAATATCATCACGTTGAACGTAATTTATTAACTATAAAAAAATTCCCGGTTCAAATAACGTCAATAGAAAATTTTAAGTCAATTGAAGAATTTTATATAGCTATAGCTATAGCTAATTAAGGAAGTGCTATGAAAATGGGTACCCATTCCAATTCAACTCTTTTGTAGCTGAAGCCATTAAAATCCCGAGCGTCATTCCTACAGAACTTATGTATTCCGATTTTCTCATTTATATTTTTGCTGGGATCTAATTTTGTAGTAAACTATAAACGCTTCTAACGCGTCTAGTAAGACGCGTTAGAAGCGTTTATAGTTCTTCTTGTAATGAAGCCATGATCATAGATAATTCTTTGCCTGACGTCACCAATTCATCGAAAGTTTCCATATTTTCAATGTCGCCCTTGAAAACAATGAAATTTAAGCAAATATGTTTGTGCCGGAAATGCTCATAAGGAACACAAAAATATCTCGAAAGCCACAAACAACGAAAATTCCTTAGGAAAAAGACTGTATAAACAAACCTCATTTATAACAATGATGTAGTTATGTGCTTTAAGGAAATGTATTTGACGAGTGACTAAAATTCTTGTGCTTTGTCGTAAATAACCATTGATGCAATCTTCGAAAAGCTGACGCCCCACATTTGCATCCACGGCTGACAGCGGATCGTCCAATAGATAAATATCGGCCTTCAAAAGAAATTAATAATTTAGATATTAAATAGGATAAGGAATTTATATTAGCCTACAACTTTGTGAGGACTACATCCTTATTATCGTTTCCACGTGCAAAGAGCTTCGGGAAGTTTTTTTAATTGTTAAATAAAAGTTATTCTTACAATAAAATACAATCCAAACAAATTAAAACTTACAATTATATGAATATAGTAGTTTAAGTATTTCACATGTATTCTTAGCCGGGTTATTATTTATTTGATGGAATACTTTAATGTGACGATTTAAAAATAGGCCAGATTTGGTTGGTTGGTTTCATAATTCAGATATTGACATTTTGTTATTTACAACTAAATAAATCCATAGGTTTTGTTGTATTTAGTTATTTTTTTGTATCTTATTTTTGTTAATTCCTTGTAACTTAATCGAGATATAGGCAACATTGTGACTGAAGTTATTTTTAGGAAATGTGTTTGGCACATTGCGGTTAATATTTAACATGAGACTTAGATTAAAAATTCGTTTTGGATCCAAATTAATTAAGAAAATAATCAAGGCAAAATAAATAAAGATTAATGATATCTGTACGCTTTCTTTTAACAATAATAATAAGATTACTATTAAAAACTCAACATTTATTTCCGCATAAGAATCAAGATGCAAAAATGCGTCTTCACCCTGAGGACTACCATAGAATGCTTCGTTGCAATTGGCCTCGTTAAAAGGTTATCCAGTTCTCTACAGTAAATTATCTATGGATCGAAAATAGAATTTGCTTGTTGCGCAAATTAAAAGCAATTACCTCTCTGTAAACGGCCCGAGCCAAATTGATTCTGGCACGCTGACCTCATGAGAGCGATACACCTCTTTCATCCACTAGGGTTTGATCGCCATAAGGAAAATGTTTGAAATCCTTCTCTAAAGCGCATACTTTACGTACCTGAAAATACATGTAAAATATTATATTCGCCATTGCTTTATGCTTAAGGAATAGTTTTTCTTTTCTTTTATTTAAAATTGCCCTAATGCATTAAAAATTTGATAATGAAAAAAAAGCACCCAGTTATACTGAGTATCGTTCATGCCCTAATTATACTATCACATTATAAACAGAAAAAGTATATGAATAAAATAACGATTTGTTATATGATTATAACTTATTGGACAATAACAAATTAGTGCAAAATAAAAATAATCATTTGCAAACCTAGTTTTAAAGAAATTTCTAATTATTAAACGACCTTGCGGTTTTGGAGAATTTTAATGCAAATACGTACTTGATTGTATTTCTTCTTATCGTAAGGTATACCGAACAATATGTTTTCTCTGACTGTACTCGGGAATAGCCACGCCTCTTGGCAAGCGTACGAGATTTTTCCAAACACTGATATTCTGCCAGTAGCTGCAGGCAATTCCTTTAGCAGTAGTTGCAAGATAGAAGACCATATGAAAAAAACCGGCCAAGAGCGTGTTGGGCCAGGCTTAGTGTAGGGTTCCGTAGTTTCCCGTCCGTCACAATAAGTGTTCCCACTTCTGATTTTAAAGGTGGGTATCCATTATCGCGCTCCAGCAGCGCTCGGCGCTCCTGCAACTGCTCCCGGTAGTGGGTACGTGCGCGAACATGGAGCGTGCAACATTGCACGCTCCGCGACAGGCGATGCCAAGTAGAGACCAACCGAACAATTCGATAATACCCGACCCAATGTAATAAGTACCTACATCGCCATCGCCATCGCCGCCATCTCTCGGGGAATTGGGTTACTAATTAATACATAGACGTGCCAGAAGTTTTCGGTGGTAATTTTGGATAATTTTTTAATAATTCTTTTTTTGTTTGAAAAAAGATACGTTCAAGATAATAAAATATGTAAACGAAGTTAAAAAAATGCCTGCTTAAACGATTATACTACAAACTTAGTCCAGAAATTATTTTGTACAACTTTTTGTCTTTTTTGTACAAAAACTGTTTCCATCCAGGTTCAAAATAATTTTCCTAGAAAGTCCTTATAATGTTCTACCTTTCAGATTTTTTTCATATTTTCTAAACCTATGGTTCAAAAGTTAGAGGGGGGGACACATTGTTTTTTACTTTTGGAGCGATTATTTCTGAAATTATTGACATTATCAAAAAATGATTTTAGTAAATCCCTATTCATTTTTAAATACCTTTCCAACAATATATCACACGTAAGGTTTGAAATTAAAAAAAAATCACTTCCCACTTTACATATAGGGGGGCTACCCTAATAAAACATTTTTTCCAATTTTTATTTTACCACTTTGTCGGCGTGATTGATACACATATTGGTACCAAATTTCATCTTTCTAGTGCTAACGGTCACAGAGATTAAGCGAGGACGGACAGACGGACAGACAGACATGGCGAAACTATAAGGGTTCCTAGTTGACTACGGAACCCTAAAAAGAGCGTATCAGTTTTAAAAAACATCATAGTATTAAGTGGATTGAAATAAAACGCCTATCGGTGGTTAAAGTAAATTTATCACACCATTTTGTCCTATAGAGGTCTTCAAAGTCTTCAGAACCACCAAAAAAGTCTTCATGACATCCGATAATGAGAATTATTTTATAAAATTAACAAGGGCGAGAACGAGTGTCCAGTTTGCGAGGCTTGATAGTGTCATCGCTAAACCTGCGAAGCGTGGAGGTTACACCAAATCCTTTATATTAATGAAGTCCCACGTCTAGCAGTGGACTTTTGATGGGCTGATACTGAAGAGAGAATATTATGACAATGCAACCATATTGTAATAAATTGAAATTAAATTTATGTATCAATTAATTCTGGATTTAGTGACATAAAACATTTTTTTATAATAATAGTCCCTTTACTTACATTTTCCTAAGAATGATATCAGAGATTAATAGTTATATTAGTAAAAAGTATTAGTAAAAACCAAAAAGTATTAAAAACGTAACAAGTTTATGCTCCATACAAATAAAAAGAACGAGTGTTTTTATGACCACATAACTGAAGTAAAACTTATTTAGCTCCATCTGTATATATATTAATTATTGAAATATTTTGTATTATATTAATTTTTTTTAAATATTTAAATTTATTAATATACGATAAATTAAATTACGAAAAATTAAATTACGGTTATGAGAGAAAGAGGGACAGAAATGTACGCCCGCACTACTCTCTCATACTTATATCCTCCCCTCAACTCCTGTTCGCCTCGCCGGATCACGATTTTCGTAACGCTTTCGTCGCGCTTTTTCAAGTCAAGCGTGCGTAAAGAAGTTTTATTTCAAAAATAAATTAAAACTTCTCAACAAAAGTAGGTTATCGTTGACTAACTGGACGTACAGCAAAAATAATTTGCCTGAAGCATAGTACAATTTTATTATTTATTTTTTCATTAATCACACACTCGGTGGTTAACGAAAACATGGTGAGGAAATCTTCATCTCTAAGGAATAAAATAAGTATTTCGAGGACATCTTAAAACCGTAAGAAGAAGCATCCATAACTGCCTAAAAATTATTTTAGAATAGGGAGGAAGTCTGTGTTTAGCAGTAGGACGTATCATAGGTTGTAATTTTACCTTTTTTACTTAAATTGACTTATGTATTTAAAATAGAAAAAGTTGTGACTGTACCTTGTCTGACCCGACGACCCCTATGATTGCGCAAAGCTTTCCTTTGCGTATGCGTACAGTAATGTTCTTGAGTGCCAAGAAATTGGGGTCATCGGTCCAACTGGCGCTAACGTCGCGCAGTTCAACCGCAATATCACAGTTTGGTTGCGAGAGACTTCTTCGAAATTTCTTCTCTGACCGTAAAGAACCTTGTAAGAATATTATTAAATATTAACTATTAATATAATTGATTTCTTAAATTTACGCGAACACTACACATTGAATAAAACTATTATTTACGGATTTTATCGTCGGAATATAATTTTAAAATACAACAACTTTTATCGGACGAAAGTACATATAAAAAGGTCAAAACAGACCCTACAACTAACACGCTTAAAACAACTAGCGATTTAATAAAGAAATACTCCGAAAAATTAAATCTCGACGTGAATTCGCTAATACCATCATGTGCCAAACCACCGAGGTTGTATGGGTTACCGAAGATACACAAACCAAACGCTCCACTACGTCCCATAGTGAGCCAGATCGATTCACCAACTTATAAGCTGGCACAATACTTAGCAAAAATACTATCACCACTGAGAGGACATACCAGAGCACACACAAAGGATTCATACCATTTTGTGAGTGAGATAAAAGACCTACATCTCGCTAACAATGAAACTATGGTCAGTTTTGATGTTCAGTCACTATTTACATGCCTACCTATTGTGGACTGCATCTCAATTGTAACTAGGAAGCTAGAAAAAAAGAAAATAACATGCCTCAAGAATATGCAATACTACTTGAACATTGCCTCACATCTGGCTATCTATTGTGGAAGGAGGAGTTCTACAAGCAAGTAGATGGTGTGGCGATGGGCTCACCTGTGTCTCCCATAGTCGCCGACATATTCATGGAGGACTTTGAGGAGAAAGCCCTTCTTACTGCTCCTGTAAATCCAAGGTTCTACAAGCGGTACGTAGACGACACTTTCACAATTTTACCATCTGACAAAGTAACTGCATTTTTAGACCACCTTAACTCCATAAACTCTAAAATACAATTCACAATGGAGTTAGAGGCAAATAATTCTTTAGCTTTCCTAGATGTTTTAGTCATCCGAAATCCTGATAACACTATTGGTCACACTGTGTATAGGAAAAAGACCCATACCAACCGATATCTAAATGGTGAATATCACCATCATCCTTCACAGTTAGCTACCGTGGGTAAATTTTTGTTTCTGAGAGCACGAGGGATCTGTGACAGAAAACATCTGGCCGCGGAGCTTCAGCACGTCAAGCAAGTATTGCAAGACAACAAGCTTCGGGTCCCGCGCCTACGTCACAGTGAACGAGTGAAGCCGGCAACAGTCGAGCGCGCACCTGCTCTACTACCATATGT